CATCCTCGTCTCGTTGTGTAGCTGGACATAGAAAATAGCACCATGAAAAAGAGCCACATTTCTATAAAGAACTCACCCAGGGCTGCTGAAAGCTGAAAAAGAACCTATCTAGAAGTTTGGGGCTTTTTACCCGTGAATCTTCACTTTGCGACTAAACTATTCACAGCAGTGCCAAATTTTCTGGTTCAATGAATGCGGGTGCCAGCGCCCTACAAGCAAACCAAAAATCAAACCAATGCGACCACTGAAATTACAGCTGGGTCATGTTATAGAGAGGTACGTTGAAATTGAGAGGTCAGCACAAATGGTCAAAATCCGACATTTTCTCACCTTTCTGCCCGTTCGCAGCTTAGAAAATGACATTGACCATCCTCATCTCGTTGTGTAGCTGGACATAGAAAATAGCACCATGAAAAAGAGCCACATTTCTCTAAAGAACTCACCCAGGGCTGCTGAAAGCTGAAAAAGAACCTATCTAGAAGTTTGGGGCTTTTTACCCGTGAATCTTCACTTTGCGACTAAACTATTCACAGCAGTGCCAAATTTTCTGGGTCACTGAATGCGGGTGCCAGGGCCCTACAAACAAACCAAAAATCAAACCAATGCGACCACTGAAATTACAGCTGGGTCATGTTATAGAGAGGTACGATGAAATTGAAAGGTCAGCACAAATGGTCAAAATCCGACATTTTCTCACCTTTCTGCCCGTTCGCAGCTCAGAAAATGACAATGACCATCCTCATCTCGTTGTGTAGCTGGACATAGAAAATAGCACTATGAAAAATAGCCACATTTCTCTAAAGAAGTCACCCAGGGCTGCTGAAAGCTGAAAAAGAACCTATGTAGAAGTTTGGGGCTTCTTACCCGTGAATCTTCACTTTGCGACTAAACTATTTACAGCAGTGCCAAATTTTCTGGGTCACTGAATGCGGGTGCCAGCGCCCTACAAGCAAACCTAAAATCAAACCAATGCGACCTCTGAAATTACAGCTGGGTCATGTTATAGAGAGGTACGTTGAAATTGAGAGGTCAGCACAAATGGTCAAAATCCGACATTTTCTCACCTTTCTGCCCGTTCGCAGCTTAGAAAATGACAATGACCATCCTCATCTCGTTGTGTAGCTGGACATAGAAAATAGCACCATGAAAAAGAGCCACATTTCTCTAAAGAACTCACCCAGGGCTGCTGAAAGCTGAAAAAGAACCTATCGAGAAGTTTGGGGCTTTTTACCCGTGAATCTTCACTTTGCGACTAAACTATTCACAGCAGTGCCAAATTTTCTGGGTCACTGAATGCGGGTGCCAGGGCCCTACAAACAAACCAAAAATCAAACCAATGCGACCACTGAAATTACAGCTGGGTCATGTTAAAGAGAGGTACGATGAAATTGAAAGGTCAGCACAAATGGTCAAAATCCGACATTTTCTCACCTTTCTGCCCGTTCGCAGCTCAGAAAATGACAATGACCATCCTCATCTCGTTGTGTAGCTGGACATAGAAAATAGCACTATGAAAAAGAGCCACATTTCTCTAAAGAAGTCACCCAGGGCTGCTGAAAGCTGAAAAAGAACCTATGTAGAAGTTTGGGGCTTCTTACCCGTGAATCTTCACTTTGCAACTAAACTATTTACAGCAGTGCCAAATTTTCTGGGTCACTGAATGCGGGTGCCAGCGCCCTACAAGCAAACCTAAAATCAAACCAATGCGACCTCTGAAATTACAGCTGGGTCATGTTATAGAGAGGTACGTTGAAATTGAAAGGTCAGCACAAATGGTCAAAATCCGACATTTTCTCACCTTTCTGCCCGTTCGCAGCTCAGAAAATGACAATGACCATCCTCATCTCGTTGTGTAGCTGGACATAGAAAATAGCACCATGAAAAATAGCCACATTTCTCTAAAGAACTCACCCAGGGCTGCTGAAAGCTGAAAAAGAACCTATCTAGAAGTTTGGGGCTTTTTACCCGTGAATCTTCACTTTGCGACTAAACTATTCACAGCAGTGCCAAATTTTCTGGGTCACTAGATGCGGGTGCCAGCGCCCTACAAGCAAACCAAAAATGAAACAAATGCGACCACTGAAATTACAGCTGGGTCATGTTATAGAGACGTACGTTGAAATTGAAAGGTCAGCACAAATGGTCAAAATCCGACATTTTCTCACCTTTCTGCCCGTTCGCAGCTCAGAAAATGACAATGACCATCCTCATCCCGTTGTGTTGCTGGACATAGACAAGAGCACCATGAAAAAGAGCCACATTTCTCTAAAGAACTCACCCAGGGCTGCTGAAAGCTGAAAAAGAACCTATCTAGAAGTTTGGGGCTTTTTACCCGTGAATCTTCACTTTGCGACTAAACTATTCACAGCAGTGCCAAATTTTCTGGGTCACTGAATGCGGGTGCCAGCGCCCTTAAAGCAAACCAAAAATGAAACAAATGCGACCACTGATATTACAGCTGGGTCATGTTATAGAGAGGTACGTTGAAATTGAAAGGTCAGCACAAATGGTCAAAATCCGACATTTTCTCACCTTTCTGCCCGTTCGCAGGTCAGAAAATGACATTGACCATCCTCATCTCGTTGTGTAGCTGGACATAGAAAATAGCACCATGAAAAAGAGCCACATTTCTCTAAACAACTCACCCAGGGCTGCTGAAAGCTGAAAAAGAACCTATCTAGAAGTTTGGGGCTTTTTACCCGTGAATCTTCACTTTGCGACTAAACTATTTACAGCAGTGCCAAATTTTCTGGGTCACTGAATGCGGGTGCCATCGCCCTAAAAGCAAACCAAAAATCAAACCAATGCGACCACTGAAATTACAGCTGGGTCATGTTATAGAGAGGTACGTTGAAATTGAAAGGTCAGCACAAATGGTCAAAATCCGACATTTTCTCACCTTTCTGCCCGTTCGCAGCTCAGAAAATGACAATGACCATCCTCATCTCGTTGTGTAGCTGGACATAGACAAGAGCACCATGAAAAAGAGCCACATTTCTATAAAGAACTCACCCAGGGCTGCTGAAAGCTGAAAAAGAACCTATCTAGAAGTTTGGGGCTTTTTACCCGTGAATCTTCACTTTGCAACTAAACTATTCACAGCAGTGCCAAATTTTCTGGGTCACTGAATGCGGATGCCAGCACCCTACAAGCAAACCAAAAATCAAACCAATGCGACCACTGAAATTACAGCTGGGTCATGTTATAGAGAGGTACGTTGAAATTGAAAGGTCAGCACAAATGACAAATGGTCAAAATCCGACATTTTCTCACCTTTCTGCCCGTTCGCAGCTCAGAAAATGACAATGACCATCCTCATCTCGTTGTGTAGCTGGACCTAGAAAATAGCACCATGAAAAGGAGCCACATTTCTCTAAAGAACTCACCCAGGGCTGCTGAAAGCTGAAAAAGAACCTATCTAGAAGTTTGGGGCTTTTTACCCGTGAATCTTCACTTTGCGACTAAACTATTCACAGCAGTGCCAAATTTTCTGGTTCAATGAATGCGGGTGCCAGCGCCCTACAAGCAAACCAAAAATCAAACCAATGCGACCACTGAAATTACAGCTGGGTCATGTTATAGAGAGGTACGTTGAAATTGAGAGGTCAGCACAAATGGTCAAAATCCGACATTTTCTCACCTTTCTGCCCGTTCGCAGCTTAGAAAATGACAATGACCATCCTCATCTCGTTGGTTAGCTGGACATAGACAAGAGCACCATGAAAAAGACTCACATATCTCTAAAGAACTCGCCCAGGGCTGCTGAAAGCTGAAAAAGAACCTATCTAGAAGTTTGGGGCTTTTTACCCGTGAATCTTCACTTTGCGACTAAACTATTCACAGCAGTGCCAAATTTTCTGGGTCACTGAATGAGGGTGCCAGCGCCCTACAAGCAAACCAAAAATCAAACCAATGCGACCACTGAAATTACAGCTGGGTCATGTTATAGAGAGGTACGTTGAAATTGAAAGGTCAGCACAAATGGTCAAAATCCGACATTTTCTCACCTTTCTGCCCGTTCGCAGCTCAGAAAATGACAATGACCATCCTCATCTCGTTGTGTTGCTGGACATAGACAAGAGCACCATGAAAAAGAGCCACATTTCTCTAAAGAACTCACCCAGTGTTATGGAGGATCACGAGATCCGCCGAATCCGCTATCGGCAATCCACAACAACAAGGCCTCGGAGTGATGGAGAACGCCCCTTCTATTCAGTTTCGAACTGCTACTAATGTCCCTTTAGACACTCATACAACACACGCCTTTCGATAGGTGTTGTTCTTCGATCTTTTCACACAAGTACAAGAAATACACGTAACACCGACTCTAGAAACAACTGCAAGAAAACTGAATGCTTCATCGCATCATCATCTGATGGCATAATGGGAGCGCAGCGATTCTTATGGTAGGTTGAAAGCACACAGCCAGCATATCAGGAGCCAAACACAGACGAAAGGAAACAATTGGAATAAAATACAGTGAACAATTCCGCTGCACGGTTAACAAAGAAAAACCGCAGATAACCGCTCAGACAATCACCGGGTGGTCGCCGTCTGAGGCACGTCAATGCACAAAGGTAAAAACGGCCAATATTGCAGAAGTATTCAATATGGCAGGAAACTACTACTAACCAACTCTCCGTCCGTGTCCAAACACCTACATTTAGAAGCTACCTGGAATACTGTGGCTGTGCTATTATTAGAATACATACTGGATGACAATGCACAACAGAAACTAGCAGTGTCCTCCTGAACATCCTCCCCCTCGCCATATGCTCCCAGAGTAGCATGTGGCAACTACTGATTTGCTATGCCAAAAATGCATATACAGCGTAACAAATGTGCACCGAGAATAATGTGCAGCAGCACCGCATGCTGCAACGAAAGAGTATGAATAGGTTCATGTTTTCAGCAAGGCACACAGCTTGCACAGTGTTCCTCTTGGTATGATACATTCAGCATATCGGCTACTGACTGTAGCGGTACCTCACTAGATGACTTCAGCATTCCAGTGGGCACACACGGGAGATAGGCCGTTTGTATTGCTGATTACCGGCCTGCAGCTTCACAACTCGCACATGCCCGTCTGGACCCGGGTAAACTTCGATTATCCTTGCGAGACGCCACTGACCTCTAGGTGTTGCTGGGTCAATCAGCAGGACAACGTCCCCTACCGCCAGATCTCGGCGCACGTTCAGCCATTTCTTCCGTTGGTTGAGCGTCGGGACCCATTCTCGCAGCCATCTTCTCCAAAAGTGCTCCACTAGCATCTGCACATGCCGCCATCGTCGTTGTACTGATCTCCCATCGTCATTTTGTGCGGCCGGAACAAGCTGTCCTTCAGATCGTCCATGGAGGAAGTGGTTGGGAGTCAGCGGGCCAGGATCAGAGGGATTGGCTGACTGATATGTCAATGGTCTCGAGTTGAGAAGAGCTTCAGCCCCGGATAGTGCAGTGACAAGCTCTTCATCGGTCACTTGAGCATCTCCGAGGATACGTCGAAGAGCCTTCTTGGCCGCCTTGATCATAATCTCATGAACTCCGCCGAAATGCGGTGCTAGCGGTGGGTTGAAGGTCCACTTTATTCGCTGACTGGCCATGGTCTTCTTCACCTTGTCGTTGTACACATCTTCTCTCAGCTGCCGATCTGCACTGACAAAGTTGCCGCCATTGTCCGAGATGACCTCAAATGGCCGTCCTCTACGATTGACCATACGGCTGAAGGCGTTCAGAAACGAATTAGCATCTAAGGCATACGCCATTTCGAGGTGAACAGCTCGTGAGAGTAGACAAGTAAACAGACACACATACCGCTTGCGTCGCTGCTTGCCCCGACCTTGGACGGTCTCAAATGGGCCTCCGTAGTCCACTGAAACTCTGGCAAAGGCCCTCAGCGGCGTGCTGAGTCGAATTGCTGGCAATGGTGCCATCTGTTGCTCTGCTGGACGAGCCTTGTGTCTACGGCACACCATGCATTTCTTCTCCCACTCTCGGATCTCCTCTCGGGCTGCTTCCACCAGGTATCCTTGCGACAATTCCGCCAAGGTTTCGTTGGTACCGCCGTGCTGACGCTGCTCGTGAAAGTGCTTCACAATGAGGCCTGTCACTGGATGCCGCCTCGGCAGGATGACCGGGAACCGTGTGTCGTACGGAATCCAATCAGCTAGTCCGGTTCGGCCATCACAATGTTATTTGTGAGCTCAACTTTCCTGCTGTTCCATGGTATGCAAACCTGGTATCGTCCATCCACCATCTGTATAGACCGCTGCACTGTCTTGAGCGCGCTCTCATCCTCGGCTGATCGTATGCCAGGCTCCTGGAGTCCATCACTCATGCCGTAGCGCTCTACCTCCCAGAAGCGCTGTAGCGTTGCCTCAAGTGATGTCACAGATGGGCCGCCGTAACACAGGAAAGACTGGCCGTGTAAGGCCTCTTGGTGCGAGTCTGTGTCCGCTGCATGTACTTTGCCAATGCATGTCCATCCCAGCGGTGTTTGACGTGCTATTGGTTGTCCGGGAGCGCCACTAATGTCCCGACGGGACATCATTAGCTCTGCATTGTCGCTTCCAATCAACAGTTCGATGACGTTGGGCGTGTGCAGTGCCGGAAAGGGAATATCCCGGAGGTGACCATACTTCTCAGCTTCTTGCGACCAGTCCACAGGCTGTAGGTCTCCGGTTACGTTCGTTGTGGTGAACGCTGTCACCGATTGCTGATACGAGTTATCCATACTAACGATGGTAAAGCTGACCGGTGCTGTCATGAAGGTCTCCACCTTCCCATTCAATGTACTGACTGTCGACCGTCGCAAAGTTCCACTGATACCGAGCTGGCCAGCCACGGCTGCGTTGATGTAGCTGGTTGTACTAGCATCGTCCAGTAAGGCATTCACCGTGACTTCCTGTGGGCCGTTGCGTAGCATCACTGGCACAATCCGTAGTGCCACCTTGCTATACGAGTGAGCTGCCATTGTCGCTCCAGCTGTTTGCTCCCCCTCGGTAACAGCCTGCACTGCGTGACAAGAACCATCTACTTCGCCTCTCCGGTTCTTACTCTCGACATCACTGGGTGTATCCTTGGCTTGGCCACTAGACGGCGTACCTTTCTGCGCACCACCCTTCGTAGCGTGGAGGAGACGATGATGATTATCCTGGCAGCCGTTTACTCCACATGTCCAACCACGCTTGCATTCACCACCTCGGTGTCCAAATGCCAAGCAGCGATAGCAGAGATTTGCTCGCCGGGCCTCAGTCCATCTCTGTACGTTGTCCATCTCCAGGAATGCCTTGCACCGCCAGATACCGTGCTCTCCTTCGCAAGTGGGGCACTTCGGCGACTTCTGCGGTTTCTGCGGGGTTGAGCTGGTGCTGAAACTGGCATAGGTTCGGGCCTTTTCACTGTTGCCGCTGGCATTCGTGGTCGGCTTGCTCCATCTGGGTTGCCGGGACCGCGTCATCCCTCGTACTGTCTCGGTTGCCGTTACGAGGAACTCCGCCTCTTGGGTAGCCCACTCTAGCAGAGCGAGAACCGACTCTTGCTTCCGTTGCTCAAATAGCCACCGCTGATATTGGGCGACGAGCTTCTCAGACAGCTTCCGTAGCAGGTTCATGTAGAATGTTCCGGCCTGAAGCTCAGCGAAATGACCAGCATCTTGCAGATTCACTGTGGCGACTTCAAGTAAATCCGCGAAGCGTTCAAGCTCCCTGGGGTCGTCTCCGGAGATGCCGGTAAACCGAGCCAGCTCCTCCACGTACATTGCGACTTGACGGCGCTTGCCGCCGAACTTCTTCTCTAGCCGTGCCTTGGCTGTATCATAGCCTCTCTGCGTGTAGCCTAGATTGGCGACGGCTTGCAACGCGTCCCCGCCCAGAAACTGCTTCATCTGGAGGAACTTGTACTCTGGAGTCGCTGGTGACGAATCAACACAGGCAATGAAGGACGCCTTCCACTCTTCATACCTCCTCTTGTCTCCTGTGAAAGTTTCTATCGATACTCTCTTCATCTGCGTCCATGGCTCATGTCCAGGCGGTGGAGCAAACGCTGGTGGCGGTGGTCTTGCCCTGGGCATGGCAGCCTGAAAGTGCTGATGGCCTCCAAACTGCGAACTAGACACTGCAGGCTGTAGGACTGGAGCGCTACCTGCATAGGGTTGACTAGTAGTAGTACTGGCACTGACTGCTGACAGCGGTGCACGTAGGCTGTGGCCTGTCCAAGACGCAGCCGCGGGTACGCTCGTTCCACTACTACTAGTACTTGGAAGGCTCGGAACTGACGCTGACGCGCTGGCTGTGGTCAGTGTAGGCGCTCTAGCACTGATGCTAGTGGCTGTGATCGATGGCGATCTTCCGGAAGCGAGTACCGTGGTTGTCGAACTATTGACTATGTTTGCACTCACCGTTGAGGGCACTGACGCTGCTGATGCAGCTCCGCTAGCCTTCGAAGCTAGCAGTGATGTTTGGCTCGCGATGTCCGTTGCTCCTTGGCTGTAGCTGGCGAAACCCTGGTGTTGGCCAAGTGACTCGGCGCGCGTGTCTCGAGTCTCCGAGTCGGGGGAGTCCGAGTGCGCTGCGAATGACTGACGCATCCATGGATCTTCTTCCTGTAACGCAGCTAGTGGTCTCTCCCGATATCTGTACCCAGGCCACGAGGCCACGGGCATCTGTCTTCCTCGCACTCCGCCAAAGGCTCCGAAGCCTCCGATACCGCTGAGAAAGCTGGCCTCCTCAGCCTCAGGTTCAGCGCTCTGCTGCCAATCACCTAGAGCGCTCATCGCGAGTCCTCCGCCAGTACTAGATTCCGGCGCGTATCTAGGACTAGTTGCACTGGCCGAGTCCCAGGGCCAGGTCCGTGTGTGACCTCTACGACTACGAGTAGATCTACCACTCTCAGTAAATCCTCGCTGGCTGGATACTGCATCACTTCCTCGTTGCGCCTGAGTGACTTCCTGATCGCCTCCGGTCCCGTAGGAAGGCACAGGCAGATCCTCAACTGCGGCACTGTACTCGGCTTGTAGCGTTTCCAGTTCTGCTATCAGCAGTAACTTCTCCTTGACATCGCTGGTGATGTTCGATAATTCGTCGATGACTGCCGCGACCTCCTCCATGCAGCCTTGTAGACGCGATTGTTCCGCTTCTACGTCCTCAATCTGCCCATTGTGTGCGCCTACCAACAGCGCCCTCCTTGCATTGGTGAAGTGTCCCTTTGCTTGCGCCTTCCGTTTGCGCAACACGACAATGCTCTCATCTCTCGCCACAGAATCCGATTGCTGAGGCGTACCGCCGCGCTGTTGCGACTCTTCTACCGCGTCTTCCGCGCTACTCTCGACTCTTGTGTCAACGTCCTCCATCTTCGATATCGAAACTCACTACAACTGTCGACTCACTTTGACACTACTGGAAAACCATCCTCTGCTACCATGCGACCATGTTATGGAGGATCACGAGATCCGCCGAATCCGCTATCGGCAATCCACAACAACAAGGCCTCGGAGTGATGGAGAACGCCCCTTCTATTCAGTTTCGAACTGCTACTAATGTCCCTTTAGACACTCATACAACACACGCCTTTCGATAGGTGTTGTTCTTCGATCTTTTCACACAAGTACAAGAAATACACGTAACACCGACTCTAGAAACAACTGCAAGAAAACTGAATGCTTCATCGCATCATCATCTGATGGCATAATGGGAGCGCAGCGATTCTTATGGTAGGTTGAAAGCACACAGCCAGCATATCAGGAGCCAAACACAGACGAAAGGAAACAATTGGAATAAAATACAGTGAACAATTCCGCTGCACGGTTAACAAAGAAAAACCGCAGATAACCGCTCAGACAATCACCGGGTGGTCGCCGTCTGAGGCACGTCAATGCACAAAGGTAAAAACGGCCAATATTGCAGAAGTATTCAATATGGCAGGAAACTACTACTAACCAACTCTCCGTCCGTGTCCAAACACCTACATTTAGAAGCTACCTGGAATACTGTGGCTGTGCTATTATTAGAATACATACTGGATGACAATGCACAACAGAAACTAGCAGTGTCCTCCTGAACACCCAGGGCTGCTGAAAGCTGAAAAAGAACCTATCTAGAAGTTTGGGGCTTTTTACCCGTGAATCTTCACTTTGCGACTAAACTATTCACAGCAGTGCCAAATTTTCTGGGTCACTGAATGCGGGTGCCAGCGCCCTACAAGCAAACCAAAAATGAAACAAATGCGACCACTGAAATTACAGCTGGGTGATGTTATAGAGAGGTACGTTGAAATTGAAAGGTCAGCACAAATGGTCAAAATCCGACATTTTCTCACCTTTCTGCCCGTTCGCAGCTCAGAAAATGACATTGACCATCCTCATCTCGTTGTGTAGCTGGACATAGAAAATAGCACCATGAAAAATAGCCACATTTCTCTGAAAAACTCACCCAGGGCTGCTGAAAGCTGAAAAAGAACCTATCTAGAAGTTTGGGGCTTTTTACCCGTGAATCTTCACTTTGCGACTAAACTATTCACAGCAGTGCCAAATTTTCTGGGTCACTGAATGCGGGTGCCAGCGCCCTACAAGCAAACCAAAAATCAAACCAATGCGACCACTGAAATTACAGCTGGGTCATGTTATAGAGAGGTACGTTGAAATTGAAAGGTCAGCACAAATGGTCAAAATCCGACATTTTCTCACCTTTCTGCCCGTTCGCAGCTTAGAAAATGACCATGACCATCCTCATCTCGTTGGTTGGCTGGACATAGACAAGAGCACCATGAAAAAGACTCACATATCTCTAAAGAACTCGCCCAGGGCTGCTGAAAGCTGAAAAAGAACCTATCTAGAAGTTTGGGGCTTTTTACCCGTGAATCTTCACTTTGCGACTAAACTATTCACAGCAGTGCCAAATTTTCTGGGTCACTGAATGCGGGTGCCAGCGCCCTACAAGCAAACCAAAAATCAAACCAATGCGACCACTGAAATTACAGC